GAGAAAGAGAGAAGGGGATAGATAGAATGAAAGAGAGAAATTCCAGAAAGATGCAGAGAAAGAAAGCGCAAAGGAAAAGGAAGTAGAGAAAAAATTAAATACTTGGAAAGCACTTGATGGATGAAACGATAGAAAGATCGTAAAAAAAGAATTTTGAAAAAAGAAGAGATATAAATGGAAGAATGTCTAAGTGATGAAAAAAATAAGAGAGAGAGAAAGAAAAGAAGAAAAAGAAAAATGTATAAAAAATGCGACAGAAACAAACCAAACAAACAGAAAGGGAGAATAATATTAGAAATTAATACAAAAATTAAAAAATGAAAGGCAGAAATGATTAGGATAGGAAAGATAAAGAGAAACAGAAACAAATAATATAGAAAAAAAACAAATACAGTTCGAAAGTTAGAGATATATAGTGGGAATGTATAAATGAGAGAAAGTAAGAAAAAAAATAAAAAAAGAGAATAAGAGACTGGAAGAGAGAGAGAGAGAGAGAGAGAGATTTGGCGGGAAATTAGAAGCAAATACACAATCAGCCGAGAACGTTGGGCGAATATTTATTTCATGGTTGCCGTGACGTCATCGTGTTGTAAACAAAGGCCCACGTAATCACGACTTCTTAATAAACATACAAATAAACATTTATATATAAAACTCCATTTGTGCGTGCACTGTAGTACGTAAGAGCGGATCTGGACATCTTTGACGGGATTTCAAAGCTTGACGGAAAACCAAAGTTTGATGGGAGGCCCAAAGTTTGACGAGGCGTCCAAAGTTTGACCGGAGTCCAAAGTTTGACGGGGAGTCCAAAATTTGTCGGGAAGGTCCAAAGTTGACAAGGGTTCCAAAGTTTGACGGGGCGTCCAAAGTTTGACGGAGGGGTAAAAAGTTTGACACGGGGTCCAAAATTTGACGGAAGGTCCAATGTTTGACGGACGAAGGGGTGAAAAGTCCAAATTTTGACGAGAAAGAGGAAAGGCAAAAAACTCGAAATGTCAATGTCGATTTCCAATTCATAGCAACTATGTCAAATAAATTTTAAAATAATACAACAAAAATAGTTGCTGACGGTCTACCCTAAAACCGTACACACGCCATAATACAATTTAAAAAACTTCAAAAAATATATTCCTCGTAGACATACAGGCATGTATGTAGTAATTTAACACGTATCTCGCTTCACATTTGTTCATTTGTATATAACATTTAGCCTATTTTTAGAAATCTATATCATTCTAGATGTTGCACGGTGAGACAAAACTTGGAGATAGCATCAAGAAAGACTGCCGTTGCATGTCTAATAAATTATTTTTACGTGCATCCATCTTCGATATTTTAACCAAAATGTCGTATTTTGTATGAAATTATGAAATTCTGTTTCATTTAATTATTTTCATGACAAATATTGTTTTTAATAACTATTTTTTCGAAAGTAGATTTCGATTTCTTTCTTAATTAGTGAAAAACTTCATTTTATGATAGCCAAATCAAGGACCGAATAAATATTTTAAAAGTAGAAACTAGATGAATAAAAACAGACATTTTAATAAAAGTAAAAAAATGTATGAATGAATGAATAAAAGAATGAATGAACGAATGAATGAATGAACGAACGAACGAAATAAACAAAAAAAAAAACAACAGACAAACAATCGAATAACTGAATAAACGGGTGATTAAAAAACCGAATGAGAAGAAGAGAAAGAATAAAATCACACTCAAGAAACAACTTCACATAGAACTCAGCAGGTCAACAACATTTCACGGATCAGCAACGGATCACTCAACGAAATATTATTTCCTTTACAGATTTTGTCCGCTTGTGAAATTTTTTCTGGTATATTTTATTCCACACACACAAACACCTCACATACACACATACAGACAATGGCAGACGACTTTGACTGTGAGGCCTACATTTTCACGGGGTGTCAAAATTTGTACTAGTGTGGCTTTTTTTGCTTGTCAAAGTTTTGATCGATTTTTTTACCAAAAACGGTCTTTTTTCTGACTTTTATTAAAAAACTGCCGACACACATACACACGTACACACACACATATATATACAAACGCACACGCATACACACACAAACCCACAATGACTAAACGATGAATATACAAAGTTACATACAAACTTTTGTATTATTTTCCAATGTCTATCATTCATATTCGTTATTTCAATTGGTTGCAATCACTCAAATAAAAGCTCTGTAGGGCCATTTTGTTTTGAACTGCTGAACGTATATATGATGAGGTTTTTCTATCTTTCTAGACTGACAAATGACAAGGTTTGTATTTTTAATCAATAATTTTTTCTATAAGTGTGTGAATGTGCATCCATTCCAAAATGTGTGTGTCTTTTGTCGTACCATTTTATGCGTTTGAGCGAACTTTTCGGATGAGTGTTTGTGTGCGTGTTGTTTGTTTGTTGGTGTGTGTGTTGTTTGATTGTGTGCGTGTTGTTTGTTTGTGTGTGTGTGCGTGCGTGCTCGCAAGTACGCTCAAGCGCAAATGAGAACTAGAGAGAAGTGCGAGTGTGTATGTTGATATAATATTGACAAAAAAAACGACATTTCAACATGCTTAACAGCAGCAACAACATTAACAACAATATCATTAACAACAACAACAACACTAACAACTGAAATAAAAACAACAAAACAAATGAGTGAAGAAAAACAATAGCTGCATATAATTGGAACGTGCGTTGAATACAGTAGTCAAAATGTTGTTGATGTAGTTGTCTTTGTCGTTGTTGATTAACTACAGGAAGACAATCTCGACAAGATGTATTCAATGTTAGTTTTGTTGCTGTTGTCGTTGTTGGTGGTGTTGTTGTTGTTGCTGCTGCTGTTGTTGTGGTTGCTGTTGTTGATGATGTTTATGTTAATGATTGCAGTTTTAGTAGTTGTTGTTGTTGTTCATGAATTCATCATAATCGTCGTTGTTGTTGCTGCTGTTGATAATTTTGATGTATTGCAATCATCATCGTCATCTTCATTATTGTTATTGTTGTTTTTGTTGTTGATGATGTAATCTTCGAAAATTGAGATTGTATGACGGCAATGTTGAAGATGATGACTCCGATAATTTCAACGATCATGAACATGATAAGGATAAAAAGTACTACTACTGCTACTACTACCACTACCACTACTACTACCACTACACTACTATTACTACTACTACCTACTACTAACACTACCACTACTACTACTACTACACTACTATTACTACTACTACCTACTACTAACACTACCACTACTACTACTACTACAACAACTACTACTACTACTACTACTACTACCACTACAACTACTAATAATAATAATAATGAAAATAATAATAATAATAAAATGTCAACAAAAAAATAATAAATAATTAATAACAAGGATGGCGATAGAGATGATGATGATGATTGAAAAATGATGAAGAAAATGATATTGAAATTGGCGAAGCATCATCATAATTGAAACATTTGTTTGTTTCATTGTGGGAAATCTTCGAGAGAGAGAGAGAGAGATAGCTTGGCTTTGACATTTAATTTTGCAGTCATCAATTTACTCTTCCAAGAATTTTAACTCTCTTGAAGTTTACTTTGCGTGTGTGTGTGTGTGTGTGTATGTGTGTCAGTGCGTGTGTTGTATGTGTACTATTACTACTACTACTACGACGACGATGACTACTACTACTACTACTACAACTACTACTACTGCTACTACTACTACTGCTACTACTACTACTAATATTGCTGCTGATGTTACTGCTACTAATACTACTGCTTCTACTACTTTTATTATTAGAGTTGTTTTTGTTATTTGTTCTCGTTGTTAATATTATTAATATATTTTTTTTATTAATTACGATCTTGAGTGGCTTACAATGTCAAAGTTTTGCGCGTTCAATTCATCCATGCCCTTTTTTCTACATATTTTTTGCAAAGTATTTGTTAAAAAATAGTTTTTCTGGCCTGCTTTCTTGTTTTTTTTGGAATTTAATCATATTTTTGTTTGTTTATACTCAACTGTATATTTATATTTATTTTATTTTGAACTCATTTTTATTTCTAAATTCTATTACACTGATGAGGTTAATTTTTGTTTTTCACGGTGGCATCCGTCGCCCCATCTGTCGTAAAAATTATATTGTCAACCTTGATTGGAGTTCTTTGTTTTGAGTGAATGTTCTTTGCATAATTGCGGTTCGTTCTTTGCTGACGTTTTTGTTGGTTTGCTGATGTTTGTTTGTTTGTTTGATTGTTTGTTTAATTATCTGCTTGTTTGTTTGGTTGTTTATTTGTTAGTTTGTTTTTTTCTGATGTTGTCGTTCATGCTTTGTTTTTTGTTATATGATGAATGTAATGCAAAGAAATTACAATATTGTAGCAAGAATGGTATCAATAATTAATATGACAAATAATAAAATTAAAATAAAAAATAATATTAAAAATAAATATTTTAAATAACAAAAATAACATAAATTATGGTGCAATCGGAACAGAAAAATTGTTTGAAATTTAATTAGACGCGTATGAAGGGATGTAAACGTTAGTGTGCTAATGAATCAATTGCATGCAAAAAATTTCTGTCTCTCTCTCTCTCTTTCTTTCTCTTTCTCTTTTTCTCTCTCTGTTATTTATTCAATCGTCTGACTTTCTGTCTGTATGTCGGTTTGTCTGTATTCCTGTTTGTCTGTCTGGGTGATAATAAAATTAACGCAATGGTGTATATGAGCACTGATTATTCAATTCTCTCTTTATTATTTTCCAGGGGCCTCACCAAAAAAAACACAACTGCGTGTAAATACACGTGAGACAACGCTTCACACACATTTTTTTTTATTTTTTATAATGCAACTCTTTGAAAAGTAGAACTGCTTACGTGTTATTCTATACTTATAATTAAACTATCCAGACAACACGACGCACATATACATTACACATGCACGCGCAATCATACGGATAGCATGGTCTTTGAGTTTTGTCAGAGAGTATTCGAACCATGCCAGCGCGTAATAGCAGTGCGAGACATGGCACTCCTAGATTGCATGTGATAGACGGAGATCCTTTTGCAATCGAATCTGGTCACTGCTCTAGATGTGCCAGGCACTTTACCGTTATACCCCGGCGCCAGCTTATATTGTAATAAGTAAATAAATATGGCACGGAACATAAAGACATACATCTTGAATAGTTTTTCAACAATTTGTGTTAATGATTAAAATTAACCATAATTATAAATATATATGAATAAAGCCTAGGTGATATTGCTGACCAATTGTACATCATGTTATTTATTTAATTCAGATGAATTGAACTGATCAACCTTTGCACGGACCAATCAACAAACAACAAAAGAGAACTAAGGCTGGTGACTGCTCATTCTCTGAATGACCTGTGTTTGACCACAATATCACATTATAACATCAGATCACGTCAAGCTTCATAACAACGACCACAACAACCACAACGACAGCAACAACAACCACAACAACAACAAATTAAAATCAACTATGAAATCCAAATCGAAGTCCTCCGTCGTCAGTGACGTCATCAGCTTGCCCGATCTCGACCTTGAAGATGACCTTCAGGACATTGACCTCTCCGATATCACGTGGACCTTAGACGGGGCGGGAAGCAACTTTGCTTTGGAAACTCTCAACAACCAGACGCGATGTTGCTACCAAGATAAACAACAACAACTGCAACAACAACAACAACTGCAACAACAACAACTGCAATTGCAACACGAACAACAACAACACCAACAGTTACTTCAACATTGGTTAATGGACACTGGGGTTAACTCATTCCCGAAACAAATTCTGACCTTCAAATCCGACAGTTACATTAGCGATTGTTTTGTTAATGTTATCAACGAAAGTTTTAAAGTTGTTTCAACAAATCGTGACATCAACATTGAAAATGATGATCATGGGACTAACAAAACAACTAAAAATGAAATTAACACTTTCAGTGATGTGAACAACAACTTGACCGATACAAAATATTCCGCCGATGTAATGAAAAACACTTACAAACAATCAGAAAGTCAACAAAATTTAACGACAACGGCCACGCCAGCAATATTAGTGTCGATAGCTGCAACAGCAGCAGCAGCAACGACAAGCACTTCAACAGCACTTTTGAGTTGTTCAACATCATCTCAGCTACTAATCGAAGCAACGCCACCCTCACCTCTCAACACTAAGGAAACAAAAAAGCATTCGAAACGTAAGAGAAGCTATCCACATTCCACGTCCCCATCCTCAATATCATCTTCATCTTCTTCGTCATCATCTTTTTCATCATCCTATCATCTGGTACCTATTAGTTCCACAAACAACAACAACAACAACAACGCTAACATCAGCAGCGGCAACAAACAAACAAAACAATCAACAAAATCTAGATCTTCTCGAAACAACAGCAACAACAGCCAACGTACTGCAATAAACTCATCATCATCTTCGTCTTCATCATCGTCATCGTCGTCGTCGTTATCATCTCGAGACAAAACTTGGCGTCGTATTGAGAGCAATGAACGCGAGCGACAACGAATGCATCTACTGAATGATGCTTTCCAGAGCCTCAGGGAAGTCATTCCACATGTCAGGAAAGGTGGGTTCT